ACCGACTAAGCCACCCAGGCGCCCCAACAATCCTTTTAATTTCTGTAAAGTTGGTAATTACGTCCCCAAACGTATTTCTGATTTTAGTCATTTGCTTTTCCTCTCTTGTTTTCTTAGTTTAGCTATAGATCGGTCAACTTTGTTGCTGTTTTCAAAGAACCAACTTCCAAGTACATTGACTTTCTTTCCCCCTGTGTCTTTTAACTCTGCGTTAGCCTTTATCACCCCTTCTTTTCTGGCTCTGGGTTCACTTGCTCTCCTTTTTCTAGTTCTTTAGGGCAGAAGACAGTTGACCCGAGACCCGTCTCCTTCCGTGCGTGTCTACCTGTGTCTCGCAGGGCCTCAGCTGCACCCGGGGTGGGGCTCTGGTGTGCTCCCTTCCACCCCATTTACCTCGAACCTGTGAGGTCCCCTGGTGACGACTTCGATCCGTTGGTTGTTTAAGGGTGCGATGTTTGGTTTCCACATATTTGGATTTTGTTTTTCCATCCGTGATTAATTTCTACCCCATCCATGTGTTTGGGAAGAGGAAGGTATGGACGGCGGGAGTGTGGACGGAGGACACACGACGTCCAGCCTGGAGTCACGGGGGAGGCAGGGTGGTGCACGGTGATGCGCCCTGGGGCCTGCAGTGTCCCCAGCAAGAGGACCCCAGTCAGGGCCGGGGGTGGGCGGTACGAAGGGGCAGGCGGTGCAAGGGGGCGGGGGGGCACGAGGGGGCTGAGGGGCCCCTGGGAGATGGACGTGGGGACAAGGAACCCCAGGTGACGGATAGCTCAGGAGTCCTGGCTCCCTGCCTGGGCTGCCAGGACTGCCTCAGGGCTCCCTGGTGAGGGCCTGGTGACATTCTCCTTGGTAGACGGCGTCCCCACCAGCCTCGCTGACGTGACACTCCTGGGCATCGGACTGCGCCCCTCCCCCGGCACTGCCGGCCACCCTTTTCCTGCTCCTTTTCATTAACGCCCCCCTCCGCAGATGCAGGCAACTCCCCCAACAGTGGGCCCGATGGCCCCGCCCCTCCTGTGTCCCTTCTACACCAGCCCCTGCCCTGCACCCGGCCTCACCCTGCTCATCACCCGCCTGGGTCACTGTCACCAGGAGTAACTGTCCCCTTTCTACCTGCCCCAGTTCAGCCCCCACAGCCGGAGGGCTCTCATGCCCCAGGGCGGCCCTTCTCAGACCCTCCCGAGGGCCCCACCACCCCAGGGGACCCCGACTCCCTTGCTCCCTTGGCAGCCCTGTGTCACTGGGTCTGTCTCCTCCGTGGATGAGAGGCCTGTCCACTCGGTGACAACCTTCCCACCTGGTGACAAGCTCACACCCACTTTTTTTTTGCTTTCCCGTGTTATCAACAGGACCTTATCAATTGGCATTTGGTTTCTCACCTGCCTTCCTTGTTGCGAGGTAAACTCGAGCCCTGCGGAGATGTGAAGGTGACCTTCCCCCTTCCCAGGGGCAGGGCGGTGAGGTCTGTCCCCTTCTGTCCCTGAGGCACTAACAGCTTCCGCGTGAAGTCTGTCTGTGTGGCAGCCTCACGCAGCATGGAGAGTGCTGTGGCTTGTGTCCCCCCGAGACGTGATGGGCTCTGACAGACCAGAGAACCACACGGCATCTCCAGGAGAGCTCTTCTGCTCCCGAGTTCCAGCCCGAAAGTTGGAGGAGAGAAGGTCCAATGTCTTTCCCACCATGGTCTCCTGGACCTTGGGGCTGATGCCTCAGGGGTTCTCAGGCAGCGCCACCCCCGCGATCACACTAGGACTTGATTTACCGTGTGCGTGTGGTCACATTAGCACTTGGCCTGCCGCACGCGTGTGGTCATGTTAGCACCTGACCTACTGCGTGCCTGTGGTCACGTTAGCACTGAATGTTAATTTTCAGGGGTAGTGGGTAGCAAGACAAGGCCAGTTGAAAGGTGATGAGGACATTTGAATGCTGGGGACAGTTTGTATAGGACCAAGAGAATGTGTGTATGAGTCTAGTAATTGAAGGCAGTCAAGCAATGCCAGAGGACACTGGGCACGTCCTCTGCTTCTGTGAAGTTCTGGATGAATCAGGTGGGGGTGTCCGGGGAGGTCCCTGGCTGTCTGGGACTCTGGTGAAGCCACCGCTGGGTCAGAGCTGGTTCCGTGGCCAGGAGGTGGAGTGTGATGTTCTCTGAGGGGCCATTGAGTTGGTGCATGATGAGCTTGCTGGGACAGCAGTCCCCACAATGTTTTGCGTGCACATGCACGGTCAGAGAAGTAGCAGGGCCACTTCTGGAAGCTTCTCAGGCAACTGGCAAGTGCTTGGTGGATGCCCTGGGCTAGCGCCAGAGCTGGAAGGTGGCACACAGTGCACAGGGCAGGCAGACACCCACTTCTGACCACGCACCCTGCCGGGCTCCAGGAGAGTCATTAGCAGACAGCCCAGCTCCTTGGGACACCAGAGGTGGCTCAGGGGACTGGTGGGGGACAAGGGAGGCAGCTGTGGGAGAGGGAAGGGCGTCACGGAACAGGAGGTCACGCCATGGGCCGTGTGGACCCTCTGCAGCCCAGGCTGCCTGGGACCCCAGAGCACTGTGGGCCGTGGAGCTCGGCCTCGGGGACAAAGCAGAAGCATTTGCTGGAGGAGCCGCTCTCCCCCCTATTGGACTCATGTCAGCGTCGGACCGCTTGCTGAGGTCACGGGCCACTCGGGAGGTCTGGCGGAGGGGCAGGTGTGCGACGTGCCCAGCCCTCCCTGCAGCTGACGATAATGTCACAGATGTCAGGACCAGGAGGGACACATGTGCTAAGTGACTCGGGCTCTAAGGTGATTCTGTTCATCTTTGAGCCTGTTTTTCGCTGGCCCCCTGACTGGGGATTCTGCTCAAGGGGACTTGCAGGTAGCGAGGGGCAGGGACTGACTGCCCCCAGCCTCGGGTCAGGCCAGTGGGAGGGAGCCGAGCTGGGCAAGGGCAAGGGCGCCCCCTGGGGGCCACAGGACCGTCAAAACTTGAAGACTCAGCAGCCAAATTAGACCCAAGCTTTTCATTTTTGCGGGGAAAGCGAGGTGCCAGGAAATTTGAAAGCTGCCGTCTGAATCTGTTGTATATGTTTTAATGCGTTTTTCCACAACAGCAATACACATGCAGGGGAGTTCCATCAGTAGTTTCTGCAAACGATGTTCACACACCCATCCTTCCACCTGTGCGCGGTGGCTTCTGCGTCCCCGGCAGAACGAAGGAGGCGCTTTTCCCTTTGGCTGCCTTCATGGTGGGCATGGCAGGGAGACGGCCCCTGCCTGGTCTCGCTCCCTCCGCACCCTCCCCCTCCCCCACTGGAGGAACTTGCCTTGTGTTTCCAGGGCCTTCAGCGCGCCCTCGGGGTAAGGCGAGTCCTCCCTGCCTGTGCCCCAGGGTCCTGAGTCGATGCGGGTGGCCTGTGGCCTGCCTCAGGGTAGGTTCTCCTCGCTGGAGGCGCCATGGTCTGGTTGTTGCTGAGTCAACGGGCTGGGCAGTTGTGCAGAACAGCGGGTTCAAACTGGCGGGCTCTGCGGTTTAGCTCTCTGCTGTGCAGGTGAACAGGCAGGGCTCTCTGCACGCCGCTCCTCCGGGCCACACATCCTGTCGCTTCCTCATAAAATGTCACAGGTGTGAGGCCATGGGGAACAGCCAAGGACCCCTGTCGGTTTTGTTACATCTGCCCGCGGCACCAGTGAGGCAGGCCGCCAGGAGGCGCTGCGGGAATGAGTCCCAGCTGACCCCTCTGACTCCAGGTGTGGAAACTGAGGACCAGACGGTCACCAGTTCTGAGACCCCAAAGGACTTGGGCAAAGGCCCCATTTGCAATGTCAGGGGCCCATTTCCACTGGGTACTGGTGGGGTTGCAGTCCAGGGAAGCCCAAAGCTGGCCCACCTCCGTGTGCCGGGGGACGGCAGCCGTGGGGGGTGGGCCCGGCACCACACTGCACTGTCCCCTTGAATGTCAAGCCAGCTCCCTGTGCTTTGTTGAACAAAATAACTCAGGTCAACAAGGATGGAGAGGGAGTCGGCTGCATGGAACAGTGGCCACTGGGCCCGACCACACTGTCCACAAGCAGCTCAAACACGTGGAAAGAAGCACCCCGAGTGACTTGGGGAGCCTGTTTCCAAGGCTGGAGACTCCAAGAACTACTCGCAAACACTGTGTGTGTTTACAGCTTGCCGTTCACGGGGGGTGGGAGTTCCAGGTTGCTTTATGCAGAGTCTGGAACCCAGTAACTAAATACACACATGGAGGGTCCTGTGGGCGGGGTTCTTGCTGCTGGAGAGGAGCTGCAGGTGAGGAGGGCGTTGCTGTGGTTTTGACGGTGACAATACTTGGGGAATCTCGGGGGAATGACAGCCAGGAATTCTTTGGACTATTTTTGCTACCTGTTTTGGTAAGTTTACAATTATTTCGCAAAAAGATTTTAAAAATGTAAAGAAATGGCCGACAAACGTAGAAAGGTTTCCTTAGCTGGCTGAGAGAGAGGTGGTCGGAAATAGCAACGAGCCTGCTGTGCCCAGCACACTGGTGACGGTGACTCTTCTAGAAGGTTAACAGGAAGTGTCACTTGGGTTTAAGGAGGGACGAAGCCGTTGGAGTGAAAACCGGCCAAGTCTCTGTATGGACGAGGCGGCGATCTCAGACTGTCAGGTGCCCAGACCGGAACGTGTCCTGTCTGACGTGTGGGGTCTTGTGCAGAGACACCCACACAGGAGCCAGATTCGTACACGGATCCTATTTAGGGTCACTGCGGCAGAGTTTGTAATAGTAAGAAGCTACAGACGGGCTAATAGTCTGATTATTCAGGAGGCGTGTGCGGAGGACCTAGGGGCCCAAATCTCCCACCGCAGTGCAGACGAACCTGCCAGAACACAGCCCGCAGGCCGGGCTGAGCCACGGGGCGGGCAGGAATGGCCGTGAGCCCGGGCGGTGGGGTGGGACTCGGGCGGCTTGCGTCTGAGCACGGGGTCGGGAGCACGTAACGCCCACTCGCTTCTCTGCCCTCTGCCCCAGCTGGTCGCGGCCATCGTCTTCATCAGCTTCGGCGTGGTGGCGGCCTTCTGCTGCGCCATCGTGGACGGCGTGTTTGCTGCTCGGCACATAGTGAGTGTCCTTTCCTCCATTTTGTTCTCCATCACTGTCGGGGCTTGAAAACACCTACAGAATCAAAATTTCGTGGCAAAGCACTCCGCTCACTGACCTGGATCCCCTTTCCCCGTGTCCGCCAACCGCTGTCGCTCCTTTTCTGGCTTTTCCTCTTTCCCTGAAAATTGACCCAGCACATGCACACATGCAGGTGCATGCACATATGCACACACTCATGGGCAAACACACACGTGTGTAGGCACACTCATGGGGAAACACACACACACTGATGATCACACACATGCATATACTGATGCACACACACACACATGCTCATGTACGTGCACACACACATGTGTAGAGGGTACATGCACACACTCACATGGACATACACATGCACACACTCGTAGGTACACATGCACTTGTGCGTGCACACTCATGCATGCACACACACGGGCACTCACGTGCACACACTCACAGAGCACACACATACATGCACTCATGGGCACACATGCATGCATGCTCATGTGTGTGTGTATGGGCACACTTGTGGGCACACATGCACACACTCATAAGTACACATGCATGCGTGCACTCACTCGTGCACACTCATGCATGCACACAGTCATAGGTACACAGTGCACTCACACACTCATGTGCATGCACCTGTGCACGCACTCACACACATGCACACATTTATGTACACGCGCAGGCACCAGCATCAGCACCTCAGATGGAAATCAGGATTTTCAACTTCCTACATGACTCCCTCACCCACGTCTCTGAAACCTGCTGCCTGAGCACTTCCCAGAGACCTTAGTTCAAACACGTGTCTTGAGAGATCATGACAGCATTTTCTCGCTGATGCTGTAGCTGTGGGACCCTTGATGCCCACTTTACCTCTGTGTGGACACCGAGGTGGACATCGCTTAGGGCAGGGCCGCACAGGCGCCTGCCTTGCGACCCGGGATCTCCGGCTTGTGCGAGCAGGTTCCGAGTGAAGGAGGTCCGGGCAACGGGATGAGGAGCGCAGAAACACTCGAGTACGCTAACGTCGGTCAAGGTCAAGCGCAAACGTAGAATCCATTGTCCAATTGCCCAGGACGTTTTCCTGACCGTTGTGTCTGTTTAGAAAAGCTTTGTTACAACGTCAGGAAATGGCTCTTGTTTCAAGCTGGGCAGATGGAACCGAGAATTTTGTCCACAAGCCTGGGAGCCGAGCGGAGGCAGCATTACACCCTCGGCTGAGGCCTGACCTGTCCTCTGCCCATGTTTCTTTCCAAACAAGACACCAGTCACGGGTGGCTGCCTTTGACCTTGGACTCTGGGCTCGGGAGGCGGCGGGGCCGGTGCTGGCTCAGCCTCTGCAGGGTGAGCCGTCCACCTTCCTGGCGCCCTGTCCTGCTAGAGGCTGGTTGTTCCCCCAGAACCCCGAGGCGCCTATGGCCTGGGGGCAAGGGGCTGGGAGGGGACACACCGCCATTCCTTCTGCCCGGCTGCCTCGAGCTCGCCTGTCAGCGCGTGAGCCCCGCGATGGTGCTGTCACTGAGTGCCGTGTCCCCACAAATTCTCATATCGAGACCTTGTCTCCGGGGGACGGTGTTTGGGGCTCAGCTTAGGGAGGTCACGAGGTGGAGCGTTTGTACAGGCTTGTGGTACATGCCGGCCCCAACTCGTGGGCGAGCCCACGCTGCCCCTGGACCCAGAAGGGGGGTCCCACCAGACACTGATCTGGCAGGTCCCCCCCGACGCTGGACTTCCAGTCACCACACTGTGAGAAACAAATTGTTTATTGTTTACCCCCTCTGCCCCCCGCCCCCCGCCAGTTTACAGTATTTTTGTTGTGACAGCTCACGTGGACTAACAGAGTTTGGTACAAGAGTGGGGGTACAGTATTTGGTACAGAATTTACTGCCTGGGGGCTCCCCATGGCTGAGCAAAGCCCCTGGCGGGGCCGTAGGGGAAGTGGCCTGCTTCAGGCTATGTGGCATGTGGTTTGTGTCTCTGCCGTCAGATGCAGGGGTGGGAAGAGCGAGACAGAGAACATCACGGCCCACTGCCCAGGAGAGCCCTGGCCTGCACAGGTCGCCAGGCGCCTGCGGGGTCCCGAGCGGCCCTGGACCGTGAGGACCAGCTGGTGCCTAGAAGGGGCAGAGGACAGAGCCCGGTGGTTGTCCCTCCTGGGTGTTCATCATTGTTGTAAAGTTGTCTTTACACTTACAGCGCTTTTTAGGGGTTTCTATATGCACACTTTGTCCCCGACTTTTGCTTCTTGTTTTTTATTTTTGGAAAGAATACTTGAACTGTGGGTCCCTGACCAGTATTTGCTGGTACGCTTCCGGCACTCTGCCTGGTTAGAACAGAAAGCGTGTCCTTTGATCCGAATCCACTTTCCCTTCCTGAGCCTGTTGCTGACATCAGCAAGTTGTTGGACAGCTGCACCTGACCTTCTGCAATGCCATCAGGCCAGCGGCATCAACCAGGTCGCCCCGTGCCAGGACGCGGGATGGGTGGGCAGCCTGCCTCCTGGGGCTCCAAACCTGCTGGCCGGGGCTGAGTGTCCCAAGGCCTTCGGAGGAGGAAGCCCCGTGTGTGCCCTCAGAGTGCGGCTCCGTGAGGAGTGCCTGGGAGACGGGTGTTGGTCGGCTTCGTGATGAGTCGGTCAGTTTAGAAAAGTCTAGTAGACTGTGCTCCTCAACAGGGGCTCCTCCTCGGGGTGGACAGAGGGCTGAGTGGCGTCCGGCCGGGACCGGCCACACGTTTGTGCTGGTCACTCTGTCCCAGGTAAGCGTTTCCTGGGTAATGAGGGCCGTTCGCGCAGTGACATCTTGTGCAAAGAGTGAATTCTCGTTTTCTCCTGCATGTCGGCGGGCCCAGGCCAGCAGCCGCAGGGCAGGGGCGGGGATGTGCGATGCTGTGGAGGACAGCGCCCCTCACAGGGCGGAGGGCGGAGTGCACCCTGGGGAGGTCAGGCAGGCTTCTCCGCTGGGGGCTTCAGAGCCCGGGCGGGCATGAGGCGCCCTCCTGCGCCCGGCTCCCCGCTCCGCAGGCCTTGGCGGGTCAGCGCACCCCTCTGCCCACTAAGCCAGGTGCCACCGCCCCGGAGGCCACAGAGCCTGTGTGGAAGCGTTCCGAGGGCAAATATTCCCCTTCTCTAAGTGCGTGTTCTCTTCTTTCTAAAAATGCACAATTAACATCTTCTGAGAAGAAGGCGTGATGATCCCGTTGTGCGTGAGTGTCCTCCGCTTCCAGGAAGGGCAGGGAGCCCTGAGAGGCAGCCACCGGGTCCCGCGACCCAGCAAGTGGCAGCCGGAGACCTGCACTCGACCCCCTTGGGCACAGGCCCAGAGCCACCACCAGAGGGGAAAGTGGAGCCCCGCAGCAGCGAGGCGTCTGGCGTGGCAAGGCCTCCGACCCTGGGCCTGCGTCATGACCCAGAAGCGGCTGTCGGCACCTCCACACGCAGCCTTCGAGCTCGTCCGTACGGAGCAGCGAGACACAGAGGCAGCGGCTTAGAAATGAGGGCAAATAAAGTGGAAATTTAGCAGCAGGACTTCTGAGCCATGGCACCCCGCTGACCCCCGCCCCCCGGCCTGCCTGAGTCCTGCCCGCCCTGCACGCGTCCTGAGGAAGAGGGCGCTCCACGGCCTTGACCTTAGAGGCAGGCAGCACGTTTCCCCCGAGGGCCAACACCGGGGACTCTCTCTGACTCCTGCTGGTCCTGAGGGCGTCTGTTTCCCTGGGAGCTTCCAGCAAGAACCACCTCCCCAGGCAGCGTAGGCTCAGCCTTCCCGCCGTCAGAAGAGGCAGCAGTGACGCAGGAAGGGGCCAAAGGGCTTGTGCCTGAGGTCAGCCCCGGGAGCTTCCAGCGCCTGGGCCCACCCACCGCCTGACGCCAGCGAGCCGCACGCCCGAGGCCCCGAACCCACGCTGAGAGGGCCCCTCAGCCACGGAGTCCAGCGGACATGGGGCCCGCCCCACTTGTAAGGGGGGTGATGCTTCTGTCCGGAGGAGGGTGGGTGTTGAGGAGGAAATAGTCATCGGTGCCTGCTAGGGCCGCGTGAAGGAACACGTGGGAGAGAAAGTCCCTTCAAAACCGCTTGCGTCCCGAGGAGGGGACCTCCGTGCAGCTGCGGGCGAGCAGGGGGAGTGGGACTCATGGAAGCAGTTTGTCTCTGTGGCCGAGGTGTGAACGGCACCAGCTGTGTCCAGGCTCTCGTGTTCCAAACCGGCTGGAGGCTTGTGTGGCAGAACGGCACCCCCGGGGCAGAAGGTCGCCCCTGCTGGAGGAGCTGTCAGCAAGCAGCCCACCATGTCTACACAGCGGGGCCTCCGGTCAGGCCATCGGGCTGCCAGACTCTTGGTTCTGGCCCGCCATGGGAGCCACGGCAGGTCCTGGGGTCAGCGGCTGTGCGGTTGCCCCAGAGTGCGGTGTTTAGTGCTGGTTGGGGGCACCCTCAGGGACTGGCCGCACTGCACTGACAGTAGGGGGCGCGGCGTCCTTTCCTTCTGGGTGGCCCCACTTCCTCCGTTCACAGCTGCCCACCAAGGTCCCACCCTGGCAGGCGCGGTACGGGCTGGGGCAGTGCCTCCGGCCTGTGGCCACGTGGCCTCCGCCATGGCTTCTTAGTTCAGCTGTGGCAGCACAACAGCAGCCACGGACGATATGTGGACGAATGAGCACGGCTCTGTGCCAATAAAACTTTATTTACAGAATCAGGTGGCGGGTCAGGCCTGGCCCGAAGGCTGCAGTGTCCCCTACTGGAGACACCTGGGGTGTTAACCGAGCTTGAGTGACTTAGAGTCTGATATCATATGTGGAGGGTCTTAATGCTAATTTACGTGGAACAGTCAAGAAATAAAGACCATGTCATAATGATCTTTTTTTTTTTTAGGTTTATTCATTTATTTTGAGAGAGAGAGAAGGAAGGGCAGAGAGAGGGGGGAGAGAGAGAGGCTCCCAAGCAGACTCTGCACTGTCAGCACAGAGCCCGACATGGGGCTGGAACCCGGACCCCAAGATCATGACCTGAGCTGAGATCAAGAGTCGGACGCTCATCCGACTGAACCAGCCCGGTGTCTCTCGGTGGTCTTTCTGAACACCCACTGCCCATCTTCCTGGGCCAGAATGACGCTGGCTCTGGGCTCTCTCTGACCCCAGAGGAACACTGTTTCCAGTGCGATCTTAAATTTGAAAACTAAGTCTTGTGGCAGGTGGGACTGAAATAGTCACAGTTGTATTTAATTCAAACTATTAAGAACCTTTCCATCCTGATTGGACACTGACGGTCAGACAGAAAATGAACCAGGCCCCTGGTGCTTCTGTGTCAGGAAGAGGATTTACTGCAAAGCCCAAGTCTTACACCCGTTCTCCGTGGCTGATTTGATGTGGCGCCGAGCCAGGAGCCGCTGCGGCCTGAGCGTCTGTGTCCCCAGCGCCCATGTGTGGCAGCCTGAGCAGGCAGGCCTTTGGGAGGAGGTCAGGGCCAGATGAGGCCCCTGTGGTGCGATTAGTGTCCATATAGACACCAGAGCCTGCGGCCTGCGCGGTGAGGCCTGGGCGGGGAGAGGCCGGCACCCGCGCTCGGGCCATCGCCACGGGCTGTCAGAACCGCTGTCCGCCGTGGAACCCTCCCGTCCGTGCTGTTTGCTACTGGGCCCCCAGCAGATGGAAGCAGCAGCGACGGCGGGAGGTGCTCCCCCTGGCCGGTGGCCAGGCCTCGAGTGGGGACTCAGCCCCAGACAGGGTGGCCCGTGCGTCTGGACCTTCCAGCAAGGCCACGGTGCGGAGTCAGAACGGGTGTTTCCACGTGGCTGTGGCTGAGGGAGGGCGCCGTCTAGCAGGGCTGGCAGGTGCCGCTGTCACAGGGTGCTGCTGGTGCCCGTGAGCCAGTGGGACCCTGAGCCGAAGCTGCTGGAATGAGGCCCTGTGGGTTGACAGCCGACAGGCATGGGCCCAGCGGACTGGGCAGGCGCCTGGGGAGGGCTCAGGGGCGGCGGCCCGCCCCTCACCACGGGGCCTCGGGGCACCAGCCCCTCGGACCCTGCCCCCTGCACGCCCCACCCACACCCATCTGCTGTGCTCTGTGCCCGTCTCCCTCGGGCCGCTCAGCATGTCCAGACGGGCTGGTGTGCAGCGGCCCCGTCCTTACCCGTCGCTGCAGTGCCGTCCCTGGTGGTTTCTAGGCTCATCTTAGGTCAGGGATGGGAGGGTGCCGGGAAGTAAGGTGCGAGGCCCTGCTGCGCACCTTACTGATCACATGGGCGCCTGGGCCCCTCGCCGTTATCAGCCAGAGCAGTTCCAGGTGCTTTGTCACTGTCACTTACAGATGTGCCTCCACTGGTCAGCTGGGGGCGGGGACTGTGTCTAACCCTGGTACCGCCAGGGTCCGGCTCCGCGTCTGCTCCGTGAATGCTGGGCACAGGCTTGTGGATGGAAAGTTGAACAAGGCCATGTTGAACAAGGTGGGTGTTTATGGAGTGGTTGGGGGATGAGGGGAGGGACGGGGGCGGGAATGGCTGAACGACTGGATGCTCAGGTGGAGGATTGGCTGAGTGAGTGAATTAACAAGAATCTTTTCTTCTCCCTTCCTAGTTGTTTTAGAGCAAGAGGCAGGCGCCAAGGGGTGTCCTTATTCAGGGCGGAGGGCTGCCCCTCAAAGCGCCCGGACCCGCCTCCTCTCAGCTGCCCACGAGGATGCTGGTGGCCAGGGAGGGACACGTCAGCCCAGCCTTCGGGGCAGGTGTCTCCCCCGCCCCCGGGGCATCTGCTCAGGTGTCTGGATGCAGTGGCCCAGCCACCCTGGAAGGAGCCGTGGGTCTCCTGCTCCGTGTCCCCCGCCTGGCAGACTCGGCTCAGAGCCCAGGGCCGACAGGTCTGAAATCGCCTCCGGCCTCTCCTGACCCGGGGTGAGCCCGCTGCATTGCTCGTGTGTGTCTTTGTGTCTAGGAGCCCAGGCCGCTGTCCACGGGAAGATGCCAGTTTTTCCCCAGCGAGGTGGGTTACGTGCACGACGCCTACCAGACGGAGGTAAGCAGGGTGCGGGGTGGGGGGGAGGAGGGGGTGAGCTTTCATGCGCTGATCCTGCCCCACAGGCGCTTTCTGTGCCCCAGGGCGGCGTCTGGCGGCTCGGCGGCTTCTAGCGCGGCCTGCTGACTGCCAGCTCTCCACTAGCGCCCACGCTGTTCCAGCCAGTGCTGACGTTCCACGGTCACCCCGTGGGACCACAGCCGCTGACGGTCCCACGCAGGACGCACAGCACCCAGCAGCCCTGTCCGGTGGGGGCGGCAGTTACTGACTGAACAGCTGCAGAACACAGCTGGGGGCTGAGCAGCTGTCCCAGGGCCGCTTCCCGCGTGCGGAAGGCCAGGAGCAAGGGGCAGGATGCATGGCACGCGCCGTCCCTGTCAGGCCGCCCCCGGCGGGCGAGGGGCCCCAGCGCTGCATGAACGTGTCAGCTGCACTGAGCACGGCCCCCAAAACTGTGCAGACGTGGAGGAGGCGCTGGGCGCCCTGAGCGAGCACGCGGCTCGTGTGCCCCTCCAGCTCCGGGCCTGGCTCCCCGCTGCCCTTCCAGGGGTGGCACCTTTCTCCAAAGGCTGACCCAGCACGCCTGGCCTGATGGGGGAGCTCAGGGGACCCGTCCTGTCCGAGGGCGTCGCGGGGCTCTCCCCGTGCACCCCACCCATCCACGCACCCTGCAGCCGCCACCCTTCCTGCTCCCGTCTGCTCCTGGGGCCAGGGCGGGGCGGGACCTCTTCCTGAATCCCATCAGTCAGGCTTCTGGGGACCGGCCCTGGCTCGCCCCTTGTTCCCGAGCCCTCTGTCCCTCTGTCTCGTGGAACCAGCCCAGGGGCATGAGCAAATCCTGGCGCCGGGTCCCACCCCGGTTGTTGATTCAGTGGACACAGGATTTGCAAAGCTCCCTGAGGACTCGGGGACCCACGCTGCCCACACAGCCCTAAACCAGGGCCAGCAGCTTGCCCCATAAAGGGTCGGTGGTATTTCAGCGTTTATAGGCCAGGTGCTCTCCGTCCCAGCTACTCAACCCTGTCTCTCTGGTGTGACAGTGGCCACGGGCAAGGTGCAGTCAGAGGAGCGTGGCCGCATGAGGCTTCGCAGGGGCTGGGCTGGAGGCCCCTTGCTGGCTGGTCAGATCTAAGCCGCTGCCCCATGCACACTTCCTGGGAGGGGACGCTTAGGGTCAGGCCTCTTGACCGCCAACTCCTCCGCCCGTGGCGCTGGCCTTCCCACCAGCCACGTGCTGCCCTCACTCCTCCCTCCCCTTCCCTGCCCTTCTCCCCATCAGCCTCCAGCCCTGCCCTTCCCGGGGCTGCTGCTGATCTGTGGGTCTGGACGTTTCCCTTTACATTTCCAGTGAGCCTCCCTCCAGCCCTTGCTTGCACACACCAGCGTGTCCGTGGCCTGTAGCCACAGGACCCTCAGAGGAAGGCCACATGTCCCGTGGTTCTGGAGGTGCGGTCAGAGGGGCCGGGGCCCCAGGAACGGGGTGGGGCCTCACTCCCTCACCTGTCCTGGGTCAGCCGAGCCCTTGCTGAGAGCCTGTACTGCCAGCCCGCGCCCGCCCTTTCTCCTCCCGACGTCACTGTCTTCCCTCTGAAGGGGGGTGGTCATCACCCGCTTCCTTCCCACGCGTGGGCAGCATGACTTTAGCCACGTCGAAAGCACTGGGGGAAGGAGAAAGGCACATGGTTTTGCTCTAATCTTACTCTTTTAACATCAAAAGTCTCCCAACCATTTACAGCATCATTGCAGCAGGTGCCCAAGGGGAGGCCTCCTCGTGGCTTATGCAGGGCTGGCGTGGCACAGTCGAGCCCTGTATGTGGTCAGCTGTCCCCTCCTGTCCCCTTCTGCCCCCTCCTGGAGCCGTCCCCAACTGCAGGCAGCGTGCCTGGAACCCCTCCCTCTCCTCATCCACCAGACATCGGCTGCCTGGACTCCCTGGTGGCCAGGCCTGGTCCCCCGACCCTCCATCAGGGGACAGGCCTGACCCCCCCCCCCAAGGTCGTGGAGGGCGGGAAACCTGCCTCAGGAAGAGGAGCTCCTGACCTTCCCGGGCGCAGTGACCGGGTGGGTCCTGGCCCCCAGGGAGGCAGCCCTGCCCACCCCGGGTTGAAGAAGGGCGGGCACCTGACACAGTCTCTCTGCTGGCAGGTCACCTGTCACTCCTTGAACGGCAAGTGCCTGCTGAAGGTGAAGAGCAACACCTGTTACTGCTGTGACCTCTACAACTGTCAGAGGTGAGGGCAGCCTGGCTGGGCGGCAAGCCGTCCCTCTCCCGGCCCCCTGCCCCAGGCCTGGCCCCCTGCCCCTCTCCCTGCCCCCTGCCCCAGGCCCCTGTGAGGAAGGGGTGCTGACTCCATCTCACAGAAGAGAAACTGAAGATGCCTGAGGGGAGGCAGTGGGGGACAGGGGAGGGACGTGGCCTCCTGCCCCATGGCGGCAGCTCTGCTTGCGTCTGGACGCCCAGGTTCCTCAGTGCTTCCTCCCTGCTTGGCCAGGGCGGACTGCAGAGGGACCCCTCCCCAGCCAGGCCCAGCTCTGGCTGCAGGCCCAGGTGTGATCACAGCGCTCGGGCCTGGTTCAGGATGGTCCTCTTCCCTTCCTCCACGGGCAGCGGAGGGCACTCTTCTCTGATATTGACCGGGAGAGCCTGCCCAGGCTGCCGGAAACCTCACAGTGTTGGGGGGCCTCCCCAGGACGGCCCCCGGGTTCTCAGGGCTCGGGCTCGCCCACACGGAGCCGCTGGCGTCCGTCCTCAATGGGTCAGGCTTCCTGCTGAGGTCCTGGGCACGGGTTTTGTGTTAATAGCTCGAACACCTACATTAAAACCAGCAGAGACTTTAATGTCTGCCACCCGGGGACCCCTCACCTGAACCGTTGAAAACTCCGTACTTTTAGCTGCAACCTCCTTCCCCGTGAAGAGGGCTCCCTCCCATTTCCAAGCCAGAGTGGCTAAAGCAGCACCTGTGTGGGTCACGGTCCCCACGCAGTCCTAAGGGCCCGGCTGCAGGCCCTGGGCCACAGCCCTGTGGTCCAGAGCTATGCAGAGACCGCCACAGGCCGGCGTTGGGAGCGCCAGGACCGACCCCAGTGGGCTCACCCTCCTGTGCGCCCTGCCGAGGTGGCGGGTGCCGAGCTCGGTGTCAGGCCTGCTCGCTCCGGGGCTAGCACGCCAGCGCCCTTCTGCCTGGGCTTGTGTTTGGGGGGCGGGCTTGGTGGTCCTTCCTGCTCAGAGGCTTGGGCTCTTCCCAGGGGGATTTCCAGATGCCCTGGGGGACAATCTTCCCGCCAGGAACTCGGGGTGCAGCTGGGCTGGTTCGCGAGGGGCTGTATCCCCGAGCCGGTCCCCCGCAGCACCAACAGAGCCCGTGGGTCCTTTAGGGGCAAAGACTATGCTTGTCCGGATGCAGCTCGCCGGCTGTGGCCCCGGTGTGCTGTGCCCCACGTGGCTCGCCCGCCGCCTCCCTGCAGGCGTGGATGACACTGTTCTCTTTGCATCCAGTGCTGAACCTTCCCCCACCTACTATGAGTTCGTGGGTGTGAGTGGCTGTCAGGACGTGCTTCACCTGTACCGGCTGCTCTGGGCCTCGGCGGTGCTGAACGTCCTGGGTGTGCTCCTGGGCATCGTCACGGCAGCTGTCCTGGGGGCCTTCAAGGACATGGTGAGTAGGGCCCTCTGGTGCTGGCCATGCCAACAGGTCGGGGCTTCGGGGCCCGTGTCCTCTGAGGTGGGCAAGGTGGGCCTCCTATCGTCACTGACAAAGGGGAAACACAGGCTCATGACAACTGCCACCCGCCTGTTAGGACACCTGTGAGCCCTCCCTGGTGCCTTCCCGGAGCGGCTCCTCTAAGGCGCAAGCTGCACAAAACCCTTTAAGAAGCGGGAGGGGCAAGCGCGCCTGACGCCCGGGTCTGTTCATCCCACCCTCACCCCCAGCCAGACAAATAGGAACCAAAGAGATCCTGGCCTCGCCTGGAGCCTTGGTGGGTCCCTGGGACAAACAGAAAGAAAAATAAGCCCTGCTTTTAGGTGTTTAGCTTTCGCTCCGCGGGCGTGGCCTCTGGCTTGCAGGTGTCAGAGGAGGGTGGTGTGCGGACAGGGCTCTGCAGGCTCGAAGCCCAGGGCGCCCGCCTTCCGGAAGGCCGCTGAACGCATCTGACGCGTGCCCGTCTCTCCATTCTGTCGGCAGGTCCCTCTGTCCCAGCTGGCCTATGGCCCGTCTGCTGCACCTCAGATCCTCTGCAACCCTGCCCAGCAGGTCCTGGCCTACGCGGGCTTCTGCCCTCCGTCCGCACCCCTCCCCACCTGCTCACCCTACCCTCTGCCTCTGCAGGTAGGCTGTGTCCCCTGCAGGAAGCCCGTGCACGCATCATGGGCAGTGGTCGTCCAGGACAGCCCTGGTCAGATGGGACACGGATGGGGGCTCAGATTGAGGGAAGACGGGGGCCCGCGGCCTCCCCCGTCCCCAGCTCAGTAACAGGGTGGCAGAGCCAGCGAGTGGGCTGGGCACGATGTGAGTGGGGCATGGTGGACAACATCTCCCCCTTTCCTGGCATTTCAGGCCTCCTTTGCTCCTTGTGGCCCTGGTGACCCAGACTTTGGTGTCATCGGAACTTGAGCTTTTTCTGAGCCAGGCCTGGGTCCTGCAGAAGTCCCCACCGTGTCCTGGCCAGCCGCCGGGGGCCTGCGGGTAGTTCTTTGGGGGAGCCCTGAGCCTTGCTCCCAGCCACACCTCACCCCAGAGGTGGCCACCTCCTAGGGCAGACCCAGCAGGAAGCCGGCCTTGGGACTTCGTGGAGGGGTGAGCCCTCGTCCCCAGATGGGCGCTCGCCTAGGGCTCCGGTCGCAGCTTTGTTGGGGAGCCCTCACGCCTGCCAGCTGGCCGCCCTGGGGCAGAGAGGCCTCCCCAGTCTGCCAGCACGAGCGGCAGGGCGTGGGGGGGCTCTCAGGAGCCCAGGACATGGGGCGCAGCACGCGAGGGAGGGCCAGCTGGGGGCGAGCGGAGGCATGCGGCTTCCTGGTGTGCCAGGGCGGGCCCCTGTTCCACACGCCTTGAACGTGAGGCCGGTGGCTGTGCCCCCCGGGAGTGGGTGTGACCTTCGAACCCTGGAGGGGACCTGACACAGCAGTCCAGCCCCCTCTGACCTCTGCAGGGGTGCCAAGCGGCGCCTGCTCCCTCCCAGGAAGCATCGGGCAGGTCCCGAGCGGCACCAGGCCCTGGTCCTGTGGGGACTGTAGGGTGCTCGCTGCTGCGTCCACATGAGGGCCCTGCGAGCACTGCCCCCCCTCCTGGAGGGCGAGGCCTGGCTCCAGAGCATCTTCTCTGCCTCTGCGAATGGGGAGGAACGATCCCGAGGCTCAAGAACTGAGATGTTTGCCCATGACCGCTGCAGTGCTCATCCCCGGGAAGGTCCCTCCCCATGTCACCGGGCGGCCTTCCCAGATCCCAGGCGGCCACGCCTGGCAGCCTGTCTTCCCAGGAGCATCCCCTCCGGTCCCCACCACAGTGAGGACCACTTTGCCTTGGCCGTGGCCTGTGTCCTGAAGGCTCTGCTCTGTCTCCCTGTCCCCTTAGTTTGCCAAACCCAGGTCATGAGACCCACAGCTGTAGGAAGGCTGGACCCACGGCTGCTGGGCCACCCACTCGAGTGAGGGCGGATTGGCCTGGGTGCGGCTCCAGGGAGGGGAGGCGTGGCCCCAAGCCCCGGCGGGTGCTGTGTGATGGGAGGCCATCCGTCAGGGCCCTTGTCCTTGTTCAGGTCTCCCGCAAGCTTGGCTGTGAGGGGGGACCCGGGTGCGCCCCAAGTGTCAGCCCTGACTTGCCCTGGGGGCCTGACGGTCCTGAGAGGCGGGCGGCTGCCGGGGGCTCTTTCTGGCTGAGCCTGGGTCCTGACCGAGGGCTCCGGGCAGGTGTCCTGCGCTTGCAGGCCTTGATGCGTCTCCTCTCAGACGTGCTCCTTGCGGGACCCGGAGCGCGGCAGTGGCCTTCCACACGCCAGCTTTATTCCCGTGCCACACTCAGGGCCTCAGATGCGCCCTTTGTGACCCCCAGGGAAGGCCTGGGCTCTTGTCCCCGTGCCTCTCCAGCCCCCGTTAGTGTGTGTGGGAGCATAATTACATATGTACTGACACAGATCTGGGGAGGTGACCGAGCGGGGGCCCCAGTGTCCCCCGGGGAGAGCAGCAGAACTGAAGCGGTCTCGTGACCAACAGGGAGGGAAACGGGCCGCTCCAAGCGCCGTCATTAGCAGCGAAGCACGCCCCACACAGCCGCAGGCAGCGCACGGCGGTCAGGGGCAGCGGTCGTCGGGGCTGTTTGCAGCCGCTCATCAAAAGGAAGACCTTAAAGGGAACCCACCTCCCCTGCTCTCCCGGGGCCACCGGCCAGGATGCAGGATGGCGCACCCGTGAGCCAGGATGGCAGCAGAGGCGGGGATGCCTCCTGTCGTCTGCGTCCCTGAGGGGCTGCCTGTGTGGACAGAGCTGTCCCTGTGAGGCCCTGGCTGCCGGTGGTTTTCCTCAGGATTCACAGCAATTTCCTTTGTGGTCAGTGGTGGTTTAGTCTGTGGTCTGGAATGGTTTACTCTGTGGTCCGTGGTGGTTTAGTCTGTGGTCTGTTGTGTTCATTCCACGGTCTGGGGTGGTTTATGCCATGGTCTATGGTGGTTTAGTCTGTGGTCTGTGGTGTTTACTCCGTGGTCAGTGGTGGTTTTCCCTACGGCCTGGGGTGGTTTAGTCTGTGGTGGTTTACCCTGGTCGGTGATAGTTTAGTCTGTGGTGTTTATTCCATGGTTGGTGGTGGTTTTCTCTGTGGTCTGTGGTGCTTTAGCCTGTAGTTCATGGTGGTTTAGTCTGTGGTTCATGGTGGTTTCATTTGTAGACTGTAATGGTTTACTCTATGCTCTGTGGTGGTTTAGTCCGTGGCCTGTGGTGGTTTAGTTTGTGGTTTATGGTGGTTTACTCTGTGGTCTCTGAGCTGCTCATTTCTAGTGGAGAACAAGTGGATATAGACATGGGAGAGGGTGGGAGAGGCTGGGAGTCCCAGCAGACTACAGGGAATGTTCTCTAGAAGGTTTCTTTGTCTCCGTGTCTGAAGGGATAAAGAGGTAGGCAGGTCCCTGACCACTGGATTCTGAAGCCCATGCTGTTGACTCTGAGCAGGTGGTATTCCTGGGTTCAGCCATGGCCTGTGAGGGCATCCTTCTTCCAGAATCCCGACATCCCAGGGCTCCTGGGCCTCCTCAGTGGGGAAGGGTCCAGGAGGAGCCACAGAGGACAGATAGGCTGGCCTCTCAGGAGCCCCTGGCACAGGTGGGTGGGGAGCAGAGGGGCCGCAGCACGGCCAGGAGATCAGAGCTCTTACACACTCTGGGTATTTCACAGAGGGGGCTGTTCACTTTGTTTAAATATTGGTTTAGGTAGGCACTTTTTCTTTTCTTTTCTTTTCTTTTCTTCTCTTTTTTCTTTTAGCTTATTTATTTATTTTGAGAGGAAGGGGGCAGAGAGAAAGGGAGAGTGAGCAAATCCCAAGCAGGCTCCACACTGCCAGCATGAAGCTCAATATGCAGCTCGAACTCACAAACTGTGAGAAAATGACCTGAGCCAAAATCAAAAGCCAGACACTTACCTGACTGAGCCCCTCAGGTGCCCCTTAAGTAGGCATTTCTAACCATTAGAACTCAAGGGGGAAAATTCAGGAGCTCTGTTGGCAGGTGGAGATAAACTGGAAATTTTATTAATTTAAAATATGTGCCATTTCCAACATTTTTGTTCTCAGAATCACTTTTACTTGAGTCTGTGTGTTAGTCAGGCTTCCTCAGGGAAACAGAACCGATAGGATTGTGTGCACATACAGATGATGCAGATATTGATACACAGAGAGACAGAGACAGCCACAGACAGAGAGACAGAGCCCAGAATGTCCAGGCCAGACACGGGCTGCAGGCCAGGGAAGAATGGATCTTGCAGGTCTGGCCAGTCTGGAGGCAGAGTCCCTCTTCCTAGGGAACTCAGTCCTTCCCTCTTAAGGCCTTTACCCGATTGGGCTGATGTAAATGTCAATCACATCTAGAAAACACCTTCATAGTAACATCCAGACTGGTGGTGGAGCATCTGGGCCCCAAGGCCTGACCGAGTGGACACGTAAAATTAACCACTGAGCTATGATGAAAATGTTGATGTCTTTTCTCCTTCAAATATGAAGTGAGCCCCTCCCACTCCTCCAGACGTTCTGGGCAGCGTCGTCCTTGGACATGTTCACACTTGGGGATGAGACTTATGCACGGCAGGTGTGTGGCCGGGCAGCTAGGCGTTCGGGGGATGGGCAGCTCTGCGGGCGGCTGCAGGTGCGGAGTGCGAGCACAGGAGGCCCCTGCGGCCTGACCGGGGGGCCTGCATCAGGCAGCTGGCCCTGGGTGTGGAAGGAGCCCGGGCCCCAGGAGGGCTTTGTGTGGACTGACGTGGGGCTGGCCCCTCCGCAGACTGAGCACGCCTTTCTGTTCCGTTACAGCGCTGCGGCCGCTTCCCAGCCTCGACTCCCAGGGACCCTCCTCTGTCTGAGGATTTGCAGCCCCCCAACGCCCCCCCTCTCTGTGCTCCAGCCCACTTCCTCCCCGGGGAGAAGCCTCCCCCCTACTCTCCCTGACACACAGGGGGTAGACTGAAAAATAGTTTTCTGGTTTGTTAAAAAAGCAGCCTCTACAAACCCTGCTTGTGCGGCTGACCTTCTAGAGACGTCAGGGGGATGTTCCAGAAGTCCACACTCTCTTTCCCTTCCTGGGCACATCCATGGGCAGAGAGGCCAGCACTAGTGGTGGGGATGGAACCCCAGGTGACTGAGATGCCAGGCGGCACCTCTGCTCGGCCGTCCAGCCCAGAGCGTAAGTCAGACACCAAATCGATCGAGTGTCCCCACCTGGCGCCTCCTCACTCTGCCATCGCCTACTAGAAAGTCGCTTCTCACTGTCCTCCTAATGAGTTAGCTATTAGTTTGCAAAGGGAAGACAGCCCAGCGTGCCCTGTGTGAGGCTCATGTTCAAGGAGATGTGTTGCATGTTCACATCTGTATGTGTGTGTCCCCAGGAAGTACGGGGTCTCCACGCTCAGAGCTCTGTTTTCTCGGCTCTTACCTTCTGGGGATGAAAAGATGCTTTGGCTCAAATATCAAATGCTGCTCGTAAGGTGTGTGCATTCACTGAGGTCTGTGCGTGCTTCGTTTCCAAATCCGCCATCCCTCCTGCAGAAAGGCTTGCGACCCAGGCTGCGTGTTTCCTATTCAAGGAGCGTCTGGCTCCCAGCTGCCCCATGTGGGGGCCCCCATGCCTGCAGAGCAGATACCTCTAACCACAACCTCTCTGTTCCAAGTGACCCCTGGGGTGCGCCGCTTCTGAGGCCCTTCCGCAGAGCCTGGAGTGAGCTCTGACTCTTACAGACCAACAGCTATTGGCCAAGGCACCTGGTGAGGGCACACACCTGGGAATGACCAAATCCTGGTTGAGCGACAGGCCAGAGTCTTGAGTCACAGTCCTGAGTCACTGGGGAAAAGAGAAGAAGTGGAGGAGGAGGAGGTGTGGGAGGGGAGGGGGAGACGAAGGGGGATGGGGAGGGAGGAGAGGAAAAAGAGACGCGGTAAGAAGCCGCGGTCTCGGGCTCCCCCTGCTGGCTGTGAACGCAATTCGCACAGACCGTATTTCCACTCAGGGGCCTGAGACGGCGCGTACCGTTCACTGAGGACGTGGAAAGCTTTCTCTACAGAAGGTGAACACACGCGTTCACTGAGCAGGCCAACCGTGTGCAGTACGGGTGACACGGAGGGTCAGGGCGAGGGGCCGGCTGACTGGCCTCCGTTAGAACGGCTGTCCGCTGCGGGGCCGCCTTTGGTTACTGTGAAGTGGGGCCGGCACAGCCCTGAGCTGCGCAGACGCCCTCCGGGCAGAGGGAGGCGGTGCTCACCCTCGGGGTTTGCACATGGGAACAACGGCATGCTCTGTCCTTCAGAGGACATCCCGCCCATTAGTGGAGGGCAGGAAACAGGGACACAGGCCAGGCCAGCGCAGCGCTCCGGGATCTGCGGAGCGGACACAGAGCTGGGGCCCGGGCACCAAGGCCTGAACCCCAGGCTTCTGTCTGCAGCTGCTACGTGCGGGGGCCCCTCATCTGCCTGGAGTTTAAGGGCCAGCACGGTCTGGCTGAGTCGGGAGGCCTTGGCAGTCTGAGGGCTTGGATCCACTTCCCGAGTTCTCTGCCGTGTGGGGCCTGGAAGGGGAAGAGAGGCTGGGCCCCTCTCCCACTCCCCCCTCCCCCAGCACCCGCTGGCCCTGTGGGCTCAAGTCACCTCTCTGGGCCTGGGGCTCTCACTTCATCAGGACCTGCCCTGCACAGAGGCCGCAGAGTCGCTGGGCGGCGTATGTGGCCTCAGGCCTGTGTCCACTGGAGCTGGGCCACCAGCTCCAGAAGGCGTCCAGGCACCATGAGCCATAGGGACAGCGTGTGACCTCCGTGCTCAACCCGGTCAGAGCCACGCGCCCACGCCACTGTTTCACCATACTGTTGACACTAATGTCACCCAAAGCCACTTCTATCTGCCCTGTAAGCCCTGAACTGATAAAATATATCATCTCCCGGGCCAGAGGTCCAGCCCTTGCCCACAGGAATGTCTTTATCCCGGGCCCTGGCCACAAAGAATGTGAACAATTCAACTCTCAGCCTGGTGGTGCCTTCAGGCGGCCCCTGAGTCCCCAGGCCATTGCCTCACCCCTGCACACTGTATGTGTCCTCACCTGACTACCCATCCCGAGGACAGCTCCTCGCCCCTGCACACTGCATATGCCCTCACTTGACCCCGTCCCCAGGAAAGCGCCTTACCCCTGCACACAGCATGTGTCCCCACCTGATCTCCATCCTCAGGATACTTCCTCACCCCTGCACATGCCTGCCGATGTCAGCCCTGCAACATGTTCTGGGTACCATTCCCTGAGAGAACCCATCTCTGTCAGTCTTTCCCTTTATGTGGACAGACCGTGGCCAGTCTCTGCCTGAGTATGGTTGCTTCGTGGGACCTAGCCTGGCAGCTCTGAGGGACACCACACTGGTGCTGGGGCCCCTCCCTCAGCCCCTCCCTCTACTGAGCTACCACACTTCCTCGAACACTGACTGCGGTTGGCACTCAGCAAACCCAGGCTGGAGGCTGCTAATGGGTATAGGGCTCCCCGTTGGTGCGATGGAAACATTCTGGAACCAGATGGTGATGGTTGCAGTCTTATTAATGTATAAAACCTAGCGACTCTTATGTTGTTAAAAGGTGAATATTATGGTATGTGACTTGTATTTCAGCGGAAAGGGGGCAGAATACCATGGTACCGACCCACGTGAAGCTCAGGGAGCAGAGCCGGGAGAAGAGCATGTGCCTAGTTAACGAGAACCAAACCAGCATCATCACCCTGAAGAATGACCCTTGGCTGAGTAGAGGTGCCCTCTGCGCTCAGGGGAAATGCTCGGCCAAGCTGTTATCTGACCTACACAAAGAAGAGGTCTAGGAGCAGAGGCCCCGTTCAGCTAGTGACTTCCCAGGTGCCAACCATTACACGTGCAGATGGCTCCTTTTCCCGTGTCCCACCTGAAGCGATTTAATTATGGAATTTCACATACATGCAGAAGGAATGCTTAAAACAGACATATAATGTGGTGCTGCCGACACAGAAGAGACGATGAGGCAGGCCAGGAGCTCAGGCACTTAAGAGCCCAGCCCCCCGCTCCTCTGCCCCAGCTCAGGATTTTGTGTGGATACGTTTCCAACTCCTTTGGGCCAATACCAAGGAGCGTGATTGCTGGACCGGTGCTAAGAGCATGTCTGGCTTTGTGGGAAGCCCCCGGACAGCCTGGCGAGGCGGCCGCATGGTTCCGCACTCCAGGCGGCACAGAGCCTGTGCGTGCTCTGGGGTCCTCGCGGGTGCACGCTGGGGTCTCAGGGCCGTGTCTGTGGGCAGTCCCTGCTACCGGATGGTGAGGAGCACTTTTCATGAGCTCAGCTGCCGGCTGTGTACCTTCCTGGGTGTCTGTTAAGGTCTTTGACCCATTTTTTTTTTAATTTTTTTAATGTTTTTATTTATTTCTAGGAGAGAGAGAGAGACAGTGTGAGCAGGGGAGGGTCAGAGAGAGGGAGACACAGACTCTGAAACAGGCTCCAGGCTCTGAGCTGGCAGTCAGCACAGAGCCCGACGCGGGGCTCGAACCCACGAACCGCGAGATCATGACCTGAGCGAAAGTTGGATGCTTAACCGACTAAGCCACCCAGGCGCCCCTTAATGAGTTGTTTTCTTATTGTTGAGTTTTGAGGGTTCTTTGTGTATTCTGGATCCCCGTCCCTTACCAGATGTGTCTTTTGCAAACACCTTCTCCCTGTCTATGCTTGTCTCCTTTTCCTGACACTGTCTTCTCCAGAAGTCTTTGCTCTGTCGGAGCCCAGCTTGTCCACTGTCTTTTACAGATGGTGCCTTTGGTGCTGTGTCTACAAAGTCCCCGCCACACCCAGGCCATCCAGGCTCCGTCCTGTGCCCCCATCCCTGGGTGGCATACTTTTGCCTTGTACATTTAGGTATGTGATGCACTCTGAGTTATTTGTGAAGGCATAAGGTCTGTGTCTGGATTCATTTCTCGGTACATGGACGTCCAGATGCTCCAGCACCATTTGTGGAGGGGACCGTCTATGCTCGGTGTGTGGTCCTGTGTCAAAGACCAGTGACTGTGCGGATGTGGGTCTGTCTCTGGGCTCTCTGTTTGCTCTGCTGATCTGTCTGTTCTGAGACAGTCTGTATTAATTGCTGCAGCTTTGCACAGGTCTTGAAGTCCGATAGCCTTGGCCTTCTAACTTGGTCCTTGAAGTTCTTGATTTTAAGGTAGCTCAAGTTTTACATCTTTTCCTGTATCATTAGAGCATTTTGTGTTTTATTTAAGAAATACTTCTCTACCTTAGGTCATGATAATACTCTTTTGTCACAAGGCTCAGACCAGTCTGTGTGTAAAGGGCCACAGAGTAGATGTTGCTGGTTCAGGGGACCAGGAAGCATGTGGGAGCCACTCAGCGCTGCCATCAAGAACAAGAGGTGTAGAGGGTCGTACGTTAACAGTGGCTGGGTGCCAGTGAGCTTTATTAACAGAGAGAGTGGTGGACCACGCTGGGCCCACAGGCTGTAGTTTCACATCACTTTCTTTCTAAGTACTTTATAAATTACTTTTAGATTCAGATATATTCTCTACATTGTGTTATGTGAGATGGAGGTCAAATTTCCTTTATCTTTAACACAGTGGTTAACTGGGATGACTGCACCTGGTGCCACGCGGCAGTGTCTAGAGAAGGTTTTGATTGTCAAGTGCTTGGCCGGAGCGGGGGTGCAGCCAGCTCCCTGATGGCAGGGATGCTACTAAATGACCCAGAATAGCCCAACCCATAAATAAGCACTCCCAATCAACAGTGTCCTAAGCACACACACCCAAAACAAAAACCAAACAAAATATTGTGGCTCTTCTCTTAAAAAGCAAAAAAGCAACTTAGACCATAAATGTGTAATGGAGCACACTCCATTCCTCACTCCATGTCCATAGCACAAGGTCAAATGTGTCTACTATCCTCCCCTACAAGGCAGTAAGGCTCATCCAGCAACTCTATCACAGTGCACAGTCAGGACCCCC